GTGTGGATCGAGCCAGTATGCAGGCACATCCATCGGCAGCAGCTGATGTCGATGAAGAGATGCCGCAGCTGGTGTGCGAAGCCGATGTATGCCCACCATTGGCTTTCCCTCCAAACTGGACTGCACCAGACATACAAATGCACAATGAGAGGCTTGACATGATAGACATGTCATTTGCTGACATCGATGTGTGTTTCTTCGCTGGTCTCGAGCCACGCAGTTACCAGGAGGTATTGCGAAGCCCAGAGAAGGCCGAATGGCTCGAAGCGATGAACAAAGAGCACACGTCCATCGTCAGCAAACACGTCGGGGAGTGCGTGCCAATCACCGAAGCAACCAGTAAGATATTGCCCTGCAAATGGGTATACAAACAGAAGCCTGACAAGAAGAAGGCACGACTGGTTGTGCGTGGTGATTACCAAGAGTTTGATGAGCTGAGAGAGACATATGCAGCGACGCTCTCAAACCTCGCACTCAACGTCTTTGTGGTACTCTCCCTGATGACTGACAGACGATTGTATCAGTTTGATGTCAGCACAGCCTTTCTCAATTCGCCATTGTCTACGCCTGTCTTCATACAGATACCTGAAGGGTTTCGTGAAGGGCTAGAGGGCATGTGTTGGAAGCTCCTGAGGGCTATGTATGGCCTGCAGGAAGCACCACACGAATGGCACAAAACGCTCATCACTCGTCTCACAGAGATGGGATTTGAGCAGTGTGTCGTCGAACCATGCCTACTCAAACACACAGAGAGAGACCTGTGGCTGGTCATCTTTGTGGATGACTTCCTCCTCGCACCTATAGCTGGTCGCGAAGAGACGGATCGTCAGTGGTTCATCGAACAGATCAATAAGACGTTCGAAGTGACCTTTCTCGATGAGGCTGATGTCTATCTTGGCATCAAATTCACTCGAGAAGGCAACACATTGACCCTGATGCAACCAAAGCACATCAAGGCCATGCTCACACGCTACCATTTGGATGGTGATGACGTGAGGACTTACCCAACGCCCTGCACGTCAACGTCGATGCGTTTGTCAAAGGAACAATCACCACACACTGAATGGCAGCGAAAGCAAATGGCCAAAGTGCCAGTGAGACCGGCTGTTGGTTCACTCATGTATCTGACCGTCTTCACGCGTCCTGATATCTTCTTTGCAGTCAAGGAAGCTGCTCGGTATACGAACAATTCGGGCAGAGCACACTGGACGTGGGTGAAAACGATTCTCAGATACGTGAAGGCAACACAGGGCCTTGGTCTGACCTACACCAAAACAGGCACAACAGACAAGCCACTCGAGGTCATTGCCTTTGCTGATGCCGCATGGCAGGATCAGCCTGACAGCAAGAGCTCAGCAGGCTACCTCGTGTACCTGTGTGGCAATTTGATTGATTGGCGCTCACATACACAGAGATGTGTGTCAAAGAGCACCTGCCACGCAGAATACATTGAGCTGAGTGATGTAGGTGACCGAGTAGTTGACTGTTCTAACATTGTCAACTTCCTCGGCTTCAAAGCATCCACTGCGCTGGTCTTCACAGACAGCCACTCAGCCAAAGATTGTGCCTATGGTGAGAAGATCCCCAAGAAGCTTCGAGGGCTTGACCTGAGAGCACACCACATACGACACCTCACCAAGCAAGGTATTTGTCGTGTGTTGTGGTGCCCCTCTGAAGAGAACCTTGCGGATCTGATGACCAAGCCTCTGTCACGGCCACGATTCGAGTACCTGCGGAACAAGATATTCAGCAACGTCACCAGAGAGTCATTGCCCTTTGACCTGGTTGATGTATCAACGCTGTTAAATCCGCAGGACGACGATGACGAAATGGCCGATGTCTGACCAGGCAGGACAGGCAAGACAAGGCAGATCTTTGATGAAGCGCCATCTTTTTCGGTATGATGGTCGCGCTCGTGATTGTGTTGTGTGAAACGCTCCACAGCAACGACAAGCAAAGCTGTGAAGCGAGAGGGGGAGTTAGAGCAGAACTTACACGCGCAGATCTACGAGACACAAAGGTGCGTGCTTTGTTGCGTGCTATCGGACGCTCTTCTGTCTCTGAATGCTCCGATTCGGCTTCCTCACACTTCTACTCGCAACCTCAGCTACGCTGTGATCTCCAACTAGGCGTGGCAAGCTCAGTCGTAAGCTCGCAAGACAGCCGAGAGTCCCCCTCCCTCCTCATGGCTCCCAAACGCACGGAGTTTCCCCCTTTCGGGTGGCGTGAGACCTCGACTATCAACCTCGGTGGGCAAACGACGCCCATCACGTTCTGTCCGCACTTCCACGCACCCCTCGCCAGTGGCAAGAGCAAGGACGGCATGATAGAGCACCCTGACGGAATGGTCAAGAAGATTTGCAACACCGCCTTCCTCAATTTCGTCAACACGAGCGACACGTACCGCTACGTCGAGGGGGAGCCGTGCGTGATGCACAAGGACGTGTATGACATCACCGGCGGGTGTTCCAAGTCCCTCACCAAGACCAGCATTGTGTGCTGTTCCCCTCGCTGTCGTGACGGCTCCAGATCGGCTCGTGTGTGTGCCGAGCACAACCCCAGCACGTGGAAGACGACAACCGACAACCCACTGCTTGCGTCGATGTTGGAGTTCACGGCCAGCAAGCACACGGGCAAGAAGGGCTTTGTCTGTACCAAGTGCATGCTGGAAGCGTTTGATGAGGTGAGAAAACACAGCACAGCGCAGCATCACATCGGCGTGCCAGGGTGTTCATCTCTGTGTTGTGTGTGTGTATGTATAGCAACTCACCATCATCAAACAAGCCCGTGTCAAGTACGGCTGGTGTGCGGAGACGCCCGACAACCACAAGTCCATTGTCGCAGCACTGGACGGCACACAGATGTAGGTGAATATAGCGAGAAGCATGTGTGTGATGTGTGTGTCTATGTGTGCATTCTGTGTAGTGGCAGGATGCGTTAGAGGTCACGGAAAGCGAACAGCAGCCACCAGTCCCATTCACCACACCACCAGCCCAGCTGCAGTCAGCACACATCAACACGGCGGTCAGCGAGTTGTCGATCGACATGCTCAAGCTCACCATCAAGGAAGCGGTCAAGGAGGGCGTGAGGGAGGGTGTCGAGGAGGGCGTGTGAAGGGTGTTGGCCAGCACACGATGAGAGAGAGGGAGGGCAAGGTCTGTTGTGTGTGCGAGGAGGGTGCTGTGTGCGAGAGGAGAGGGCTGGGTCTGTTGTGTACGGGTTCTGTAGTGTTGTATTGTTATTTATTCATGTTAGTCGTCATTCATTGCGTGTTCAAATTTTAATTGTTCACGCTTTGAATATTATGCTGTCTAACTCTGTGCGTCATCTGCTTGTCGTCTGTTGTGTGTATTGTCGTTGTATGTATTTCATCTGAGTGTCGTCTGTCGTGTGTAGTGTCGTTGATTAGTGTACATATTCGTGCGAGACAAAAATCAATTGCCTGCGTAAAAAAAAAACACTCTATGTTCAATTTTCAATGTTTAACATACCATTTGTAGAGTGTCTTATTTGTACAGCGTATTAAAAAAATCAATGAATGGCAACGCTTGCACTTCATAGTACTCACTATTAATTTGTGAATCATCGGTCAACAATGGCGTGATAATTATGTATTCATTTGTAATATCATTGTCTTCCCACATTTTCAAGTTAAAAGTTCTTTGTTTCATTACAGCCTTGTGGAATTGACACACCAAAAAATTCCACAACTCAAAGCTCTGACGTTTAAATATTTGAAGATCAGAAATATTGATTATAAAATAGCTGTATTTATCTGCAAAATCAATGATAATTTTAATGAATTCGTTGTCTTTGGATGTAATTGATTGTGCTTGACACGTCGGACATTTGAGGCATCCATAGCCCTTATGAGAAAGTTTGATGGAAGCGTTAGAGTAAGGATGCTGTATAATATAGTAATACTTGTCATCATTTTTTTCATCACATCGTATAATATTATTAATACATCGACGACAAAATTCGTGTTTGCACGGAAATTGAAATTTTTTACGACAGATGGAGTCAAGGTAAATCGCACATTCTTGCGTCATTTTATTGTCTTACTTTTTATAAATTTGTTCATTTATTTATTATACACCATAACATGCATCACATATATTTAAGAATACATAATAGGGATGAGTCGAATGTCTCAATATCTTAAAATCATAAATACTCATAATTTGTCGACAGCCAGGGCATTTTCTATATGGTCTTCGTTGACATTTTTGACATATAAAGACTTTAACAATATTGGGAGTTTTATATTTAAACACGTTTCCATTCGGATTACAGAGAGAGCAAAAAAAGAATGGCCGATCCTCAATAAAGTCGTCCTTAATAATTGCCTTTTCCAGAAAATTATAAACAGCGTCTATATCATAGTCTGAAAAAGACATAGTCATGTATATAATTAATTAATTGTAATTAATCAGAGATAGATGAGCCCAGCAGTGTCTGTTGATTTTTTAGATTTGTCCCGCTTAGGTGGACGAGCAGCAGCAGCCGCAGCTGGTTCTTCTTCTTCTTCTTCTTCTTCTTCTTCCTCACGCTCTTGACTTTCAGCTTCACCACCTCGTACATACTGCAAATCATTTCGAAAAAACGCTTGTCGCTGGCCTGTAACCTCCTCAATTTTAGACGACCAATTTGGTAAATAACCTTTATCAAATCTGTACCGGTGCTTACGAACTTGATATTGAAAAAGAGCCTGTAAAACTATTGAAATATTATATCGTGTTGACGACATAGAAGGCGGATGCAATACAAAAATTAAAGAACCAAGGCTTCGTGAAGTTTATGATGATAACGGAAACTTGATTTTTCAATATTTAGACATAGATAGTAAAGACAATAATTGCTTCTTTCGTGCTGTCAATATTTATTTACAAAATAAAGAGCAAGCCTGCAATTCAAGAAAGAAAGCATTTAATGATAATACGAAAAATACGAAAATGACACTGAAAAAGGAGGTTTCGAAAATTACAAAATGAAAAAGGGACGCAAGAAATGATGAAATTAGTAAAACAAAAAGTCAATGAACCCATAAAGAATGCACCTATAAAGAAAACTGATATTGAAGATATAATATCTCCTTACTATGAACGCAACTTTCAGTTATATCATATTAATGGAGAGAAAATTGAGACCAAACAATATAATGAATATAATGCTTTTCCTGTAATTAACATATTATATAACAATGAACATTATAATTTAATTATTGATCAAAATATTACGCATATTAAAAAGTGTCAATGCAGTCATACTCTTGTTGGAGAAAAGAAAATTAGAGAATACGCTTGTCAGAAATGTAATGATTGTTTGCAGTTTTACTGAAAAACACATACGAAGTGCAATAAAGATAATTTAAATGAAGCACGACGCAGAAAGAACGAGCAGAAGAAGGTTTTTGAAGAGGATTTCATAAACGAATATTTAAAAAATCTGATTGAAACGGGAACCAGAGAAGAGATTGAAGATATTATTGGAAAAGACATAATGGCATGCGATATTGAAAGTTATGCCGATAAAAATAATGGTGATAAGCATAAATGTTACGCTATTGGAATAATTGATGTATCAAACAATAGATACGAGCATCAATTTTATAGAGACAACGCATTAAGTGAATATATTGATTACATACACGAGCAAAACAATAAAGATCGTGCTTTGAAACTTCTTTGGTTCAACGGAGCGGGTTTTGATTTGTCATTTGTATGGAAAGAATTAGCAATAAATCGTAAGATGATAGTAAATAGTAAGATGAATAAAAACAGACAATACTTTATTTTTGAGTGGGAATCCAATAAAATGAAAAATACTATTATTGATTTGTTCTTATTTCTACAACCTTATGGATTAGACCAATGTGCGAAAGATTTTGGATTTAAAGTGGGAAAAGGCAAATTTCCTCACTTATTTGCTAAATGCAAAGACGACATATATTATGTTGGCACTGGACGATTAAGCAAAAAAGACTTTTCATATGATGTTCGTAATGATATAGGCACTGATGATGAATTAAGAAGCAAAATGTTTGATTTCAAAAAAGGGTGCATAAAGTATTTAAAACAAGATGTTAAACTGACATTGCAGCTCTACTTTGAGTTTGCTTATACAATGCTAAAAGAGTTTAGAGTAGATATTCGTAAATTACTACATTAGCTTCAATGGCTTACAAAATGTGGTGCTACGAAATGAATGATGAAATTTTGAGACCCAGAAAAATCAGGATAAATTTTGTTTTATTCAAAGAAATAGTGTAGGTGGCCGATGTGAATTATGGAAGCGAGTTTTTGAAAGTAAAGCATTCGACAAATTGACTAAATGTTTTGAATTTCAGAAAGACAAGGATGTATTCAATATATTTAACAAAAACAACAACGTTATTAACTTGCACGACGTTAAAAACGTATTCAATCAATTGGCTTTTAGCAAAGAAGAAGAAAAAGAATTTTTTGACATAGTCGCAGATGATTATTTAATTGCTCTCGACATCGTTAGTTTGTATCCGTTTGTAATGAAATTTAAGAAATTACTTATGAACAAATACTCGATAGGACATAGTTATTGGGCAAATTCGATGAATGAGAGAAATTGGCTTCAACAATTATTAGATGAAGAAAAAGGCGACGAACTGCCTGCTGGATTTTATGAAGTTGACGTAATACCGAATAATAAGAAAATCATTCCTACGAATGGAAGCAAAATTCGACACAGAGATGTTATATTCTTTAATGATGACGAAATAGAAAAATACAAGGTAAGTACAACACAATTTAATTTTGTTAATACAAAGAAGCAAGTTTATAATTCAGTCGATCTCATCGATGGTTTGAAAAGAGGAGATAAATGTAAAATTGTTGGCAGTGTTTTATTGTTTAACGACACATCAGATGAAGTGTTTGATGAATACGTAGAGCAGGTGTATGATATGAAGATGAAACAAGACGTTGAGAAAGAGAAAAAGAAAAGAGAAGAAGAAATGCTTATAATCCTGTATTACGTCATTGTGCTAAAATTCTACTTAACTCAGTATATGGCAAGACATTGCAAGGCAGTTATGATGAAATAGAAAAAGAAGTACGCACTGCATCCGAACTTAAAAAACTTCTAAAAAATCACATATGGGTTGATTTTTTGGAAATGGGTGATTCATATATATTTATTGGCAGAAAAATCAATTTCTCTGACACAACAAACATGCCGAATCAGTTAGGATGCTATATATTATCTTATTCACGAATGTACATGAATATGATATTTGATATGATCGATGAAGAGCGATTAAATGAGAAACCTGATGTAGAAAAATCTATATATAATACACCTTTTATTCTGATACAGACTGTGTCATTGTACACGCTTCTCTTCTCAAAAAAGGGGCTCATCCAATTTATCATCCATATGATGAAAACGGTGAATTTATTTTGAAACAATTAGGACAACTTGAAAATGAGATTGGGGAAGAGGGAAAAATTATTGCTTTCTACGGAAATGCAAAAAAGTCTTATTGCTATATTGTGTTGACATCAAATGGAGAGATATGGTATACGTATGAATCATATATATACTATATTGTATTATGTATTTAGTTGAGCAAAATTTTAATAATTACTATATAAAGAAATAATTCGTTATAATTAGTATTGGAATAGTTCCAAAAAACTGATACTTACCTTTTATCGATTTTTTTATCATATGCTATCTTTATCTTTTCAACTAGATTATTATATTTATTCATTAATTCAGTATATGCTGCTATAAGTTGTTTATACTTTTTTTCTAGATCTTTATCGATTTCATATATTTTTTTTCATTCATTTCACTTGGGAAACTTGCATTAACCGTAACACTCGTCTGTGTGTCCGTCATACTTATAAACATACAGTCCCATGAGCACGCAGAGTCAGACGCTCACGGGGAGGAGGGATCGATCCCCACCCCATCAGCACACCCCAGTCCCGCAAACCCTCCCCTCCCTCCCCCACGCAGCCAGTAGCTAGTCGCACGCGCGAGGGCGATAGACAAGCGAGAGCGAATCCATTCAGACACATAACTGAACCCCCGACCCTCCACCCCTCCTTCTCCAACAGCGCATGAGCCATGTGGGCGATGAACACGTTGACATCGTGTCCTCACACACCGTCACACGTCACCACCAGAGGGCAGAAGGTCACGCGGGAGTCGCAGATGGCCGAGTGATATTTCTTCTTCTTGGCGGTCTCGTGCTGCTTCAGGATGGACTTGATTGATCGGTTCTTGGAAGCATAAGACGGTGCGTCAACATCAGTGATGCAGATGTCGAACGACGCAGCCGCCTGCCGCTCCCACACGCCCCGAGCGACGATGTCCGCCCTGACCCCGCCCTCTCCCTCCTCTCCCTCCTTCAACACCACCTCCCGACGCACACCAGCGTCCCCCCACGCCATCCCAATCAGCTCGGCAAAAGTGTCCCGCAGCTCGTTGTGGCGACGAATCACCAGGCCGTACCGCTTGCAGCACAGCGCATGGTCGACGGTGAGGGGCTGGTTGCAGTGCTCGCAGCGTGCAGCGAGGCCAGGGGGGTGACGGCCGTATCGCATGTTGAGGGCATCTCGAAACTCCGCAGCATCAAGACCAGTGTTGTTGTCTGTCGATGGGAGGGTGGTCAGCCAGCCGGACGTCTTGTATTCGGCGCTGCGGGAGAGGACGCGATGGCGTCGGCGGTCGATGTGCGGCAGGGCGGCCTCCCTCTTGGTTTTGTGGGCGACGTCCTGGTGCTGCTTGCTCTTGGTGAGGGCGTGGCGGATGGTGGCACGATGGTCGCCAGGGTGGAAGGGGAAGGGAGCCTTGCCTTGGACGGCCTTGGAGACCACCTTGGTGCTCGCGCGGGAAGCGGGGTAGGCGGCGGCGGCACGGTCGAGAGGGTCACGTATGCCGGTGCCGCCAAAGCGGGCAGGCAGCAGCATCAGGTCGACCTCGAACGGCGTCACAGGGCCGCCGAGGTTCTTATTTCTTGCTCGTTGTACTATTCTATTATAAAGTCGTGGATCGTCCTTTTTTCTGATTTTTAGCATTATATATATGGATTTTAAAATTCTTTATAATCAGTTTATAATAAGAACATATACCAATAATTAATGGATGATATGCTAAAAACTACAATTAATACACCTGATGATACAATTGATGATATGCTAAAAATACTATTTAATGATAATGATAAGACAGAAAGTAAGTACCATAATTGGATATAGTGTTCAGTCGGACAAATAATAATAATTGGCATTATTAGATGGTTCTGTAGTAGATATTAGTAGTTTAGGTATTTATCAAGGTTAAAGTTTGATTAATATATTACTCAAATGTTCATATACTTTTTCAAGCATAACAAATATTTTGTCTGGTCGTTCATTTTTATTCATCGCTTTTGTTATTTCTATAAGATTTTTCACCTCATCAATTAAATCAACTTTAACTCAACTCATTACTTTTTCCAAGATTTTTTTGTTTCTCTAAATTCTCTAATTTCAACAAAATCAATTAACGAAAATCAACGAGAAACACCATGGAGGTATATTTGGAGAATTCACCAATTTTGGCGTTATTCTGATAATTTTTTATTATGACATCTGAAGAACTCATTAAACAGCCACGCACAAGTCTTCAAACCTAGACCAGACCACATCAACTAATGATGAGACATTATTGATTAAGTTGGGGCCATCATGAGACTGTTCATGGGTGCCTTACATATATGATGCACCAATCATAATGCTTCAGCCTTACAAGATGATACTCGAGCTTAGCAGGATGTTTTTTATGTGATGAGGTCATAAGCAGAGTCTATAATAATAGCACCCTAGTGAATGAGCAGCAATCATTAGAACATTCCTATTTTATACTACTCGCGGCTTCATACATATTGTCTGATTGACGTGGTAATACGTGTATATGATGTTAATCTTTGAATCCATCCATGTATCCACATATGTTCCCTCAGACTTGTTTTCTGGGAGCAAGCAATATATATGTTATTCCTTATATGTCACTTAAACAACCGACAAACATATTTGAGTAACTAAAGTATAACGTATGCTGTTAAAGAGAAAAGACATCCTGGACTATACCGATAGAATCAATATTTAGACCTGCGAACCCTAGTATGCCTCTTGTCAATTCGTGTGTATCTGTGATGGCCTGCAGCTGGATCGTCAGCTCGTAGAAGGAATGGGCGCCGCTGAAGGTGAAGTCGAACCAGTGAGGCATCAGCCACACAATCCAGTCACAGAAGCCAATACGTAGGATGGCCACGAGCAGTAGAGACAAGAGCAAATACTGTAAAATCGGCTGTAGTATGAATGTGTTTAGAAACTCCACTGGATAAGGGAAGCGGAATTGGCATATGCAATGAGACAGAAATATATCCGGCCAGTTGTCATTGCTCATCATTACTGTCCCTTACCTGATGCTACCATGACGAAGTCTTGATAGATTAGGTGCGACGGGCGTGAGTCGAACTTCTCAAGCCGCTCCGAGAAAGCGAAGAGCAGTAAAAAGGCATCACATGCGAACCAGTAGAGCAGCGCAATGATGATGCCAATATACTCCTTCCAACGCCATACTCGCAGCACGGCCATCTTTCTAGTCAATGGGAAATGCCCTGACAGACAGCGATACCAGTGAGTATCATCATCCTCATGTCATTCTTGTCTGTGGCATATATAGCGCTTTACCTGAGTGTCTTCCAGTGATCTCGGCGATTCGACGTTTGCCTTGGTTGAAGCCAATGTTGTTTGTACGCTTCGACAGCTGAGAGCTACGGCCTACGGGCACCTCGTAGTCAACTAAACAGACAGAGCCACAAAAATGGGTAGATGTCACCTTCCGACACACCCATCTTTCTCTTGTGCTCACTTCTTCGTGTAGGCAACGGTCTAATATGAGGAACTGATTTGCGGAAGAGTATGAGCAGAAGAATTAGAATGGGCTTGGCCAGGATGATCGACCAGATCAACACGGCGATCTGGCGTAGTGTCAGATTCCACGCGATGTCTTCTGTCTGGAATGACAGCAGCACGCTGTCAGTGCCCGATCCAGACATGCGCTGCCGATCGAAAAACATGGCACAAATGGTCAAAATTCCCAGGCTGATCGAGCCGAAGAACAGAGTTCGCTGCACAGCTGTGTACCTGCATGACAGACGCAATACACAACAGATGAGCTAGGAGATGCATCCATCCATGTCTCGTCCCTTGCATGTCGGTGTTACTTACCTTGGGTTTAGAACGAATAGCTTGAGGAGGGGGTGATCACGTCGAACGACCTTGCGAAACATTTTTGTGGGTCCCCATTCTATGTACTCCACACGATGGAGAATGCGCGTCACTATCAAGTCGACCTCCTTGTTCAAATCGCCCCACAGCTCTGTCACACTCTTGCGACGGGGTGCTGCTGTCTCTCCTATGATCGTTGTCGCCCCCTTGCCGTAAGAGGGCTCCCTTACTATGTCATCGACCGTAAGCTTCACCTCTTTCGGTCCGTGGTCCATAAAGTCTTCGACAGCAACGGTCTGTCCCTTCTTCAGCTTTGGCGACAGGTCCTCATCGTTCTCATCATCTTGGTCAATTGTGTTGGTTGGCGAGTATTGGGGATCGACGAAGGTGGCGATTCGACTGGTGAGGCTCACGGGTGATTCGGGTGAGTCGGTATCCTCCTGCTGGAGTTCTGGGATCGACTCGAATGCCGGGATCATATGCTTGCACTTGCGGTAGTCTTGGACCTCCTCTTGGGGCATCTCTTCGATCGTCTCTTGCTTCCGAGGGCGACCAAAGACTGTCGCCATAGGTGTGTCCTCGACCTCTGGCGCCTCGTCTTCCTCCTTTGATTGACATCGTCCTTTGCACTCCAAGATGGCTCTCCAGTGTCTTTGGATGATAGTCGCTGCTGCCTGTTGTCGCTGCAGCTCTAAGAGGAGGCGCTTTCGAAGGGCATCCTTTAAAACACCACTCCTGTTGACACATGTGTTAATCAATGGTATGAGGCAATAATACATACAGTGATTGACAGACGAGCCAGCCGATCGCATCAGTCACTCACTTGATCAAAGTGACTCCCATCTGGCTTTTCTTCTCTTCCCGAAAGACATGTTGGAAGATCTGCATGCTCCTGGCGTCCATTCGAGCGGCGACTGATGGGGTAAACAGCTGTCTTGTGTCACTTCGTGGTACTGATGCAACCTCTTCGTCTTCCGATTTGCACTCTTCACCAAGCGAATCCATTCGTTTGCTCACTCGCCTGCGCGCTGGTGACGATCCACCGCTCGGCTCAGAACCCTCTTCTCCCAGCGATGTGCCGGACATGACGGACCAGTTGGGATCGTTCACCGGAAGGGGGCCCGACCCTTCACTCAAGCCTGTCTGCCTCTTCGTCTTTGTGGCTTCAAAGCGGTCGCCCGTGCCGACCTTCTTTTGGTGCGTCGTGAAAGCGTGTCGGATGACCTCAGTCAATGATGGTATAGGCGCGCAGACCTTGCTTCGAAGGCTCTTGCGGTCCATTTGAGTTGTGTCTGCTTGATAGTCTGAAGGAGCATCAAGACCAGACCTGAAAGAGCGAAGAGCATTCCAAGAGAGTCATTTATTTGCACATTCCATACGGTGCCTGCTTGTCCCTCTTTGTTTGTTTCTTCTCACCATGCTTTCTTCTCCGTGGTCTGCGGCACATTGCAGATCACAGGAGCCTTTGCCCCGTGGATGGCCGGGAAGCTATCACGGCGAGCATGCTCCTGCTGCAACAGCTCCTGGCGGACCGATCTGAGTGTCCTGAGTTCTTGCAAGTGCAGGGTGGGTTCTCTCCTGCACACAGGTAGGCGACACCCTCACTCACTGTAATTAATATTTGAGTGAGTGCATAACCATCTATTTACTAACTATACCGACTTGCGGCACTGCAGATAACAGCCACCGAAGATGCGACACAGAACGAAGTCGCACCACCAGGGGTGATAGGTACGACCGGCGCACTGACTCATGCTCTTCTGCAAACGGGTACGCTGGAATCGATCAAGGGGACAGACAGGAGGACAAGATAGAGGGGATGGAAGGGGTGCATTCTTTTTGATGCATGGATGGATGGATGGATGGATGTGTGTGAATGGTAGGCAGCGGGGGTGTCTTACTGCTGTGTGTCGTCTATCGAGTAGTGGGTCGGTCATCCAGATGTCCAAGAGGATTTGATCCGTAATGCTGCGCACACAAACAGGCAAGTGAAGTGATTGAGGCATGGCAAACATCAGTGCCGGTTGACGGTTTCCATTAGCGTGTTTCATATGCGTGCGTACGGGTTTCGGCAGTCGAAGTAGATGGAGAGAGCGAGGCAGACGAGGTGGATGGCGATCATGATGGCCACGAAGAGCCCCGCGATATTCTGCGTCCATGCGGTGATGTCGGCCATCTTCTTAACCGAATCGCCAGCATCCTGGAGTACGTCCTCGATGTTGCTCTCGAGAATTACACTCCTACCACATACACGGATGATGGACATGCAGATGCATTGTCTCTCTCTCTCGCTCTGTCTGTGTGTGTATGTGTGTGTGTGTTGCCTGAATAGGGTTCCGAAAGAGGTCAGGTGCACACACTCGCAGCACAACGTGGTGGCATTAGACAGCTCCTCATTTACACGACAACCTGTGAACGATAGTCACGGTAACCTCAATCGCTCGTGTCTCTCTCTCTTTTTTCCTCTCACCTTGCGTGTCCCATTGGTTTCTCGTGTCGTTCCAAAACCCACACGTCAGCTCGACAGCGACAGTCCGGTTGCCCTCGGCCGACTGCAACGCCCTCAGCTGACCGGCAGGCAGGCGAGGCAGATACATGCGGAAGGGCTCGCCACTCGGTGACGCCCTCAGCTGCAAATTGCTGCCACACTGGCGGCCCTGAAAGCACAGCATGCAGACAAAAGACATGCAGACGAGAAAGAGGCGCATGGTTGTGTCTCGCTTACCGCGACGGTAAATGTGCCCTCCTGAGCACTGCGTGTGAGTGTATTGTTGACCGTCACGTTGGTCGGGCCTTGGCCTTCGTCAGCGTAGGAAAAAGGGTCCTCTGACCACCACACTAGCTGCACGCTCTCGGCGCTCTGGCCGCCGCAGTTGCTCGACGAGTCGAACGACGGGGGAAAGCTGGCTCCCACACTCTGCTGTGCAGTCTCCATTTTAAGCATGGCTTCGTCCTGAGTTTGATTCCTCGTCGCCACCTTCATGCTGGTCCCCCCTCCAGCACTCGACAGCTCAAGGCTCCCCTGCACGATGCGAGACACCAGACTGTCTCCCAACTGGGCTGTCGTGATCCAAATATCCACTGCAAGATCGTCATACGCCGTTTTGCCGTCAGTCAGCTGTCGACTCGACGCTTTGGTTGACTTGGCTGTGCGGTTGAGCTGTCTGAACAACGCTGCTGCTGCATCAAGATAGTTCTCGACACCACTGAGGGCTTTCACCGTCCCCGTAGGTGTGACGTTGTCTGTCTGTGCGATGGCGCTCTTCGTGACTGTCATGAGTGAGCTGAAGGTCGAAACGGCTGAAACTGTATCGTCCAGCTGGTCACTCTCTGCTTCATCAGCTGCCTCAAGTGTTGTTGATAGCGTCACTGCCGACAAGAGCGCCTCAGAGGGACTGTTCGACACACCGGCGAAATTGGTTAGCCGCTCAGTGGCTACCTGATAAAGCACATAGAAGGCTGTTCTCTCTCTGCCAGTGATGAGCAGGCAGCTTTGTGGGCTGTCTTGCCGTTTTGAGGTCCTTCAATAGTGCCCTCATAATGACCCTCTTCTGCGCCTTTAGGTCGCCCTCGGTGACGTTCGGTAGTTTCCCGTCTATCTGCTTGCTCTTGAGTGCGCTGGCCACCTTAATGGCCCGCACCAGCCGCTCGCCAAACGCTTCCACAGAGTCGATAGGCGGGAGAACCGGGCCACCTGGCTGGTCTCCTTTCAGCAGCTCGTCGATGGCGTTACATACCTCTGTCTCATTCAGGGCGTCCAGATCCTAATAGAGCACAAAATAAGGCAAAGGAAGGATTCAAGTAAGTCGAGTGGACAGTCACTGATGGACGTTCGCTCGCCTTGAGCTTGTCCAGGTCATCTGTGATGTCATCCATGAAAAAGGGAGGGGCGCCTGTTGGTTCCTCTGGCGACACTGTTGGGGCTGCAGGGTCGGCCGGGGATACAGTGCAGTGGTGGGAGGAGAAGTGGCAAAAGAGGTCGTCGGGGAGATATGTGTGTAAAGCGAGAAGGAAGATATGTGTGTAAAGCAAGAAGGAAGGAAGGAAGGAAGGAAGAACAACAAGGACGTACATGTGGCAGAATCTCGATGCTGTCCGTGATCCTTTCAGTTAGTACGCACCTCCAGTCGTCGCTACGCAGGGTGAGCCTGGTATGGGGCAAGTCCAGCCTGTCTCTGTTTGGCAGGCATCATTGCACCCGTCTCCTGCAGAACGAACGAAAGCGGATACTTTGTTTGTCAGGAACGATGCAAGCACACACATGAGCACCGTTGATGAGATTGCCGTCATCGCACTGCTCAGAGCCCTTCAGAAGACCGTCAGCACACACCGCTGAGACACAAGTAGGCAGGCATGATGCAGCCGACTGACCACTCTTTTCTTCTCTTCCGTGTCGCTGCATATTGATTGGTGTGCGTGCTTACGATCGCAGAGCAATCCTGGTGTCGGACAAGACCAGCCTGACTCTATAATACAGCCATCAGTGCAGCCATCACCTGCATGCATGTATAATGAAATGCAACACATCGATTGCGGCATACATCGCTCGCAGCAATGTCATGTCTTGTCTCGTGTTGTTTCTACATACCGGTGTTTAGGTTGCCATCGTCGCACTGTTCGCTGCCCTTCCAAAGACCATCACCACACACCGCTGAGCACGTCAAGGAACCAAATGTTTATGCGGTAGCAGCTGAGTCAGGTCAGCGAAAGCAAGCTTACATGCGCAGGGGGATCCTTGTGTCGAACACGTCCATCCTGTCTCTATGCTACAAGAATCACTGCACCCGTCACCTGCATCCATGCATGCACACCATAGTCAGCTGCACGAGAGATGCACGTACCGCTGAAGAGATTGCCGTCATCACATTGCTCGCTGCCCTTTACAAGACCGTCTCCACAAATCGCTGCATGCATGATGGACAAACGACTAATTTGCACATTTCCGTGTCTCTACTCATACATCCTTACGTGTGCATGGCGATCCTGGCGTCATGCATTGCCATCCTGTCTCCTCATAGCATGTCTCACTGCAGCCATCGCCCCCATCAGTGTTGCCATCGTCACACGTCTCCCCTCCAGCCACAAGACCATCACCACACATTTGAATCGGTGTCACCACTGTATGCAGACAAACACGCAAGCGCAGTCAGGATGCAAGCCGCAGATGCCTGCATGTGCGCGTGCCTCCAAGCGTATACATACATACATACATACATAATACCGATGCAATCCGTGAGGCATTCGCAGTCGCGGACAGCCGAGTCGTAAGCCGGATCAGCCGTTGGCACCCATTCAGATACTTGGGCTATGTCGCTTCCCCACTTCAAAGTGCAGAGACCGGCACCTTCGTGGAAGGAGAATGCCGCACATGTGGGTACATTGCGGCACTCAGTCGAACAGGAATCGAACGTGTGGTTGTCGACTTCAAACCAGCCCTTCAGGTTGCCTCCGACGAGTGCCGTGCCATTCATTCGCTCCATCAGGTCACAGGCTGCACGCATGCATTACGACAAACAAACAAACAAACAGGCGAGCCATATATGTGTCTGGGCGTGTGTAATACGAGGCGTGGCGTGTGTATGTTCGTCACATGTACTCACCAGGCTTGAGCACGAAAGTGATATTACCAGAAGAATTGACACCGTTGTCCGAAAAGTCGCCGATATCATTCGAAGGGCTCAAACTAACTACAACCTCGCCTATCGTAAACCCCGCGGGAGCCTCCTCTAGCCGCACTTCCACCACGAAATTATCGTTCCACGCCGGCCATGTTACCGGCCTGTCACTTTCAATCGGTAGGTTCAGAATGACACTTGCAACCGAGCAGTTAGCGCAGGCGATTTCCAAGTCGCTGGACACGAGCCTCTTCACGGGTTCGGACAAATGAATGTGTGCGGACATGCGGATTTGGACAAGGCTGTCGTAGTATAGGTTGATGGTTCCGCCTGCGACGGGATCTCCTGTGTCGTTGACCTTGTGAACGAAGGAGAGAGCGAGAGGAGTCGAGTCTGAGGTGAAGCACATGAATCACATGACAGCCAATCAATCAATCCACTCCTCTCCTTGATGTGTGCATGGCATTGACATATTTACTTACTTACCGGTCTTAATAGCACATGTCCGCGTGCTTCTGACCTTGTTCGCACTGGACGGCCCTGAAAGGTCCGCATCGTCGTATAGGCGGCATGAAGATGGCCGAGTGCCGACGGCGTCAAAGACGAATACCTCGCAATTGGGCTCCTCTCGGCAGAGCCGGCCGCACTTCCACCAGTCGTGAGCCATTAGATTGGAGATCTCCCCCACGTCCTTCCCCTGAGACCACGCCATGTCACAACCTGCAAATACATACGTATACAAATACATATATGTAGGTATACGCACATCTGTACGTACATACAACAGTTTTTGCCATGCATGCACACTGACTGACTGACTAGTGTAGACACTGAGCTCGTTGGAAGGCGTGTTCTGCTGCTCGTCTGATGTTCGTCTAAAGGCCATGTCATTGACTTGTACCGTGACCCTTCCAGGCTGCACCGCCCATATTCTCTCCACAATCACATTGTCATCTGTCTGGTTGATCCATTTGATGGCGCCGCCGACACCCCCAACCGTCTGCCAATCTGACAGGTCGTTGAATGAGGTGTCAAATGTCAGGTTGCTGATGGCATCGGAGAATGTGAGGGTCACGTTGAAGGAAGTCGATCCGGGGCCGGGAAAGGCCGTCTGCGTGGTGATCATCACTGTGGGAGGGTCAACTGATTTGAGAATGCATGAGAGAGACATGCACTAGCAAAGACAAGCCTCGGCTTTCTCTCCCTTGTAGCGCTCACCGCAGCCTTCGTAGGCTTTCTTTTCGCACTGAAGGCAGGCAAGCATGAGACAGATAAGCAAGAAGAACATGAGTGGAAGGGCCATTGATTGATTGCATCGCCTTTCTTACCAGAGCTCTGCTGTCATCCTGAGTGTCCTGGTATGTCTGAATGACCAGATCCCTATTAATAGTTTCACATGGGTCATGCAGAAGACAAGCCGCATGTGAGCATCTGCTTCCGATTTCTCTATGCCTTACTTACCATGGTTCTTCGTATTCATTGCCTTTGGCGAGAATCAGCCCTCTGTCATATAGGCTGTACTGCCATGGCTCGCCAAAGTCCCACGCCATATCCCACAGGCCTCTCGTAGTCCCCTCCCACTCCCAGCCGCCGCCAGGCGACCAGTTGTCGCGGAAGGCAGATGTCCCTCCCAGGTCAGGCATCCGATCTGGCTCTTCGTTTGGGTGGCTGCCGGTCTAGAGGAAGAGAAAAGCACAGAAATGACCAAAGACACATGCACAAGGCTGTTTTTTTTTTGGTATGTGTACGCGCTTCAATCTGGCCCAATATCGTTTGTTGTGGTCATTCTCACTTCGCAGCCAGCCTGCAATCCACTTTGCCTCGTACGCATCGTCTACCACCACCTGCACATACAGCACACACAAGGCAGGATGAGTGAACGAATGTATCCTCCTTGCCTTTCCATCTGTCTGAACTCACCAAGTCGCCCGGCCGAGTGTTTGTTAACTCGCAAGCAAGCTTCAATTCATTCCATTTCTTCTCGATTGAATTGTCCGTATAGTAGTAGCTACATGACCGAGGACGCTGGGCCCAGGAGAGTGGCCAAGACGGTTGACCGTACTCGTCATCGCCTCCGCAGCAAAGGGGGACGAACAGGCCGATGAGAAGGAGCGCTATCAGCCACTGAAGCATGCGAGGTGACAGTCGGGAGAGAGGCGTTAACGCATAGCTCGACGGCAAGAGGAGTCCAACAGTGTCTGTCAAAAAAGGACAGTGGTCAGAAGGTGACAGTGGTCAGGAGGTGACAGTCGGGGAGGTGGTATGATGATTCCCACGAGCTTCTCCTTTCTTTCGCTTCTACGTTGTTTCAGCGTTGAGCCGCCTTAGGCATTGCTTTACCGCGTCAGTTGATGCTGATGCATATATTTCTGTCCCCCGTCGTAGCGGCTAGGGGTCAACGCGGGAAACTAACCGGGCCCAGTGGTATCAACACCAGTTGATTGATTCACTCTTTCAGCATCGGATAGAGGAGTGATGCCGCATCTAGATCCAGAAAAAACTGAATGCGAAGCGCGGCCTGGAATGCCTAATGTCAGAATGGCAAGAACGAACCATATGCGAGCTAGGCTTGCGAGTTAGGGTAGACTGTGTGTTTCCGCAAGCGCAAGCTAGAAGGGATGCATTCGCGAGGGAAGTTCATGTATGATGTCAGTGCAGACGATCTTTTCAGCCATTACCGAAAGAAGATCTGTATTGACCACCCCTCATGATGCCACATATGGATAGCAACGACTATTGACTGACTGGCCAGTCTATCAGCCTCACTGAAGTGAGAGCTCTCTGGCTCTGAGACTTACCGCTCAGCAGATTCTCTATCAGCTGACTATAAAAGAGGTCCTCACCGGCCTTTTCGCATACCTAAGGCTGCGTTTGTTGCAGACTAAATATTTTGACTTCGAATTTTAATAACTAAACCCTTCACGCCTTCCTCGATATCTTATTGAGCTCTTCTAAGTCTACAGCACTATATCCCGACAGAATAAGTCTGCGGTCCGATTTTAGATTTGTCATGTTTGGGATGAGATAAGAGCTCATGGATGAAGATGTAATTTTTCCCCTCCCTTTCATTTCACCCTTTCCTTTCCATACTCGTCTCCTTCATTTCTCGTTTCCGTTCATTATTTTTCATCCCTCATTTCCAACCTTTGACTGCTTGTCTCTTATTTGTAGTCTTTCTCTTTCCATCTCTCATTTCGGATCTGCTATTACTTATCTCTTATTTCCACTCCTTGAGTTCTCTCCTCTGCTTTCCCGTTTCCGTTCATTATTTTTCATCCCTCATTTCCAACCTTTGACTGCTTGTCTCTTATTTGTAGTCTTTCTCTTTCCATCTCTCATTTCGGATCTGCTATTACTTATCTCTTATTTCCACTCCTTGAGTTCTCTCCTCTGCTTTCCAGTCTCTTTGACTGCTCATCTCTTGTTTCCAACTTTTGCCTTTTCATCTCTCATTTCCAGTCTTTGACGATTAGACGCAGGGTCCAATGCCCTTGTCCAATTCACCTTTCTATCCCATTTACGCCAATCGATCCCGTCCATTTACAATGTCCGTTAGCAGACCGGTGTGAATTGAACTCTGGACCTTTCGAATACACGTCAGAATCAATATGCCACTCGGCTATGGTGTCAAGTATATTGTTGAGACAGAAATCCAATACTTCGGTCAGAGGCCAGTTAAGTGATACTACCAATCAACCAATGGGCACAAGCGATATGATTGAACTTCATTTTCACTACCAATAGTTATCCAAGGAGATAAAGTTAGATGTTGTGTTGTCAACATGCCTTCCGAAGCGTTCAAGCATGTGTTTTTTCTCTTTTCACTCGGTGGAACACTTGCTGATGTGATGTTGCATCCTCGCTGGCACTCTCAACACGTCACCCTTTTATAAGACTAGTGGTCTTCCTTCTGCATCTGAGTTGGTTGGTTGGTTGGTTATTGTGTTTAACGAGACTCGTGTCTGTAACCCCGGAGGGATTCTATTGTCTCACGCACTAAACTAGCAGCATGTACATGCAAAGCATGCACACGGCCTGTCTACCCCTCCCAGTTGAGAAGGGGCCTCACGGGATCAGCGAGCTTCCCCGGGATCGATCAGCGGGCCTCACGAGCTTGCAGGCGAGCACGATGAATGTGCCTCTTCCTCGGCTGCCGAGCAGCGCCTCAACATCTGCATGCACTCATGGCCATTCGTGGTCTGACTCGGCCCTCCCACTATCGTGGGCACGCCTCGAGATCACTTGCCTGGACACCGGCAGCATGAGGCTGCGCACTACGCCAATCAGCGATCTGTCAAGCGCAAGCTCATCTGGGCATCGCTCGTCTGCGTAAGGGCTATGCATGTATAGCAGAGAATACAGCGATGTCCAAGCAACATGTACGCAGTTTGTTGGTCTGACTGATGCTGTGCAGGTGGTGTTCATGGTAGCTGAGGTGGTTGGCGGATATCTGGCCTCCTCGATTGCACTCATGACGGATGCCACTCACATGCTGACGGATCTGGTGGCAAACTGCATCGGGTAAGGTTATGCATTCATGCATACACAAGTCTACGTACGTTTGGCTGGCTGGCCTCTCGCTCTGTCATGCAGGCTGTTCGCCATTTGGGTGGCATCGAAGCCTGGCGGACACGCCCTCTCGTTTGGCTACCACCGAGTCGAGATCCTTGGTGCACTGGTGTCTGTGTTGCTCATATGGGGACTCACGATCGGCCTCGTGTGGGAGGCAGTTCAGAAGGTTATCAAGCCAGAGCCTGTGGACGGTGCCATCATGACCATCGTAGCTATTGTTGGTCTCGTTGCCAACATCATCATGACGCAAATACTCAAGGTGGGCAGAGAGATACGTAGACATGCACACATCCGCACGTCAGCTGAGGGTGATCCATCCCTTTCGATCCTGGTGGTTTGCAGATCCACAATCACGGGATTGGCGGCCACGAGTGCGACCACCATCACCACGACTCCCATGCCGCCTCATCCGCCCATGACCAACATACCGGTCCGTGCTTCCACGATCACCAGCATGAAGCCCATCGTGGCCACGATGCGGAGGAGCCCCCCGCCCTACCCCACTATGAGTGCAGTCTGCCACCGTCAGCGTTCTCGACGGCCAATGTCAAAAGGGAGAAGGGCAGCATGAACCTGCGTGCGGCGTACATGCGTGCTCTCGGCGATTTAATCCAGGTTTGCTTGGTTGGATAGAGCCAACAAGCGATCGACGCACAAAGAGGGTTGGCTGTTGTGTTATGTTTGTGTGGTCACACCAGAGTGTGGGTGTGATGATCGCCGGCGTGTGCATCTGGGTGCATCCCTCCTGGTTGATTGCCGACCCCATATGCACCTTCATATTTTCGTTCTTCGTGTTGTCGACAACTCTGGCCATCCTGCGGGACGTCACCACAGTGCTCATGGAAGGCACGCCGAAGGGGGTGGATGTAGACCATCTGCAAGACGACCTCGCACTCATCCCTGGTCAGTCTGTCCGTTACGGCAACTAATTGTTTTTGTCTGCTTGCTTTGGTCTCCTGTATGTATAAGTGTTATCGTCTCTCTCGTCCGCCCGTTGTTTGCGTGTTCCGTCAGGTGTTGTTGAGTTGCATGATCTGCACGTGTAGTCCCTGTCTGTCGGGAAGCCTTCTCTGTCGGTGCACATCGTGGCCGAACAAGAGGACATCGCACCCCGCATCCTGCGAACTGCCACCAAAATATGCCAGGTGCGGTGCATGCACGCGCGAGAGAGATACCCATGCATGACCACATGCAGCCTGGCCTGCGTCCATCGCCTTGGCTTGCCTGCTTGTGACTGGCTGGCTGGTTCTCCTGCCTGCAGGAGCATTCTAACATATTGCACACGACCATCCAAATTGACTACGCCAAGAATCAGCTGGACTGCAACACCATCGCCCATCGCAAGTGCAGCTCTTACGCCAAGCGAACCCGAAGGAATTCACCAGCCTCCAGGACATGACGATGAAGAAACGCATGCATGTATTTGGGGCGTCTTCCCGCAGCCCAGGTGCACGCCTTGCTCACAGCAAGGCTACGGCAGTACGGCATCACAACCCCCATAGGTAGAAGGTGCGGCACTTTTTTGCTTATGGTGCCGAGTCTTTTGTTGCATCCTCCATGTATGC